TAGATCAAGAATTTATCTTTAGTATTTCTTAAATACTTGAGGATAGTCTTGACTGTTGTCCAGTGACTTTCACCTGGAACAGATTGGTATCGACTCGTCATGGCATACATGATAGATCCTATATCCAAAGCATATGGGATTCTGCTCATCCGCTCTCGCTCATCATGTTTTGAAGGACACTGATTCTTGCTAAGAGTTACGCCATGAGATATTGGCAAGAAGCCCTTCTTGGAATCACGCATTTTGAATATATGCAAGACCTTATCGATATAAGTATCTTTATATAATTCAACAGACTTAATCTATCTTTATAGATTCTTATTCCAAAAACATGTGTTGCCTTTCCCATGTCTTATACTATGAGAACTTCCTGAATTTCTCGAACTCCTTCGAGCTGTATTTTACTCCCACTGTTCTTCTTGGAAAGAAATTCTCTTTCTAGAAAAACACCACTACTATCAACAAAAACTTTGTTCTCAGTGGGATTTTAAAATTAAACACAGATTTTTCTAAAATGTATCCCCAAAAGGATAATGGAAGATCTACATGACTCATCATTGACCGAACGATATCTAATAAAGTTCGGTTTCTCCTTTAGATACACCATTCAACTGCAGTGTTCCCAAAAGAGTAAGTTGTGAAACAATTTCACAATTTCTCAGATGATCATTAAGCGCTTTGACTCGATCGGATCGAAGAGCTTTAATTTTCTTATCAAGTTTATTTTGTACTTTATCCTGAAAATCTTTGAACTTTTCAAAAGATTCAGACTTATGTTTCTAGATAAACATAATCATGAAGTACTAATAGTTTCCTTTAACATTTATACTCATTGGTCCACATACATCAGTATGTATAAGTTCCAGCAAGTATTTTACCTCTTTCACTATGTCCAGTAAGAAAAGCCTTAGTCATTTTACCCAATAATCAAGATTCACATTTCTCAATTGATTCATAATCAAGTGAGCTCAAAATTCCATCACCATGAAAGTTTTGATGTGCTTCTCATTTATGTGGTCCAAACGACAATGCTAAAGAAAAACTTGATCTAAGTCATAAGACTTGAACCTTTTGGTATTAATGT